TCCCCTCCTCGCACCCTCCCTCGTAGCCAGACACCCTACATCCAGCCTGCTTCTGCACCCTACCTATCTGGTCTGCACCCTACCCAGACCTTGTCCCCTTCCGACCCCCAGCTCCCTCCCAGATCCTGCACCCCATCCCTATCCCGCTTCTTGGCAGCCCTGCCATCCACTCTAGCACTGCCCTGGCCCCAGCACCTTGCCTCACACCCCAGGACTCAGCACAGCCCTGGCCCTGGCCCCAGCTCCAGCACGCTAGCACCCAGCAGCTCCCTGTTCCTTGTCCCAGCACCCTGCCAGTCAACCTAGTGCCCAGCAGGACCATGTCCCTGACAATGCTAAAGTTTTGAGTTTGACATAATATTTTATTTAAAACTGAAGCCTGGCCAACAAGCCCCCAATTGGGGCCAAACCCCCATCTCACTGCAGCATCATAACACTCCTGCACTACCTGGCCCCAAATCTGAGCCTATCATACACTGGAACCCCCTGTCCTGAGCCTCTTGAAGCCCCAAACTCCTGCATCCCCGCATCCTCAGTCTTCTGCTACCACACTCCTGCACCATCCACACATCACAGTTCTGTGTCCTGAGCCCATCATACTCACAACCTTCTTGCCCTGAGTCCCTCACATATCCAATCCAAACTCCTGCACCCTCACATCCACAAGCCCATGGCTTGCTCAGCACCCTAACCTTACACCTGAGCCCAACACTCCCGAACCTGGAGCCCTCTCCCCGAGCCAACATCCCCTTCTCCTGCATCCAAATTCCCTCCTAGAACTTGTGCTTCTCACCCCTTCCCACACCCAAATCCTTCATTCCCACCCTACACCTCCTGTCTCAACCTAGTGAGAGTGTATAAGGGTTGGGGATTGCAAGTGATGGAGAGGAGGGGAACAGAGCAGATGAGGCCTTAAGGACGGGGAGGGGGGTCTTGGGGAAGGAATGTGATTTTCATGCATTGGTGGGGATTTTCATGAATTGGTGGGTCCCCCTTCCCCCCCCTTTTTGTTGTTTGACAAACCTAGGAGTTCTGAGCCCCCTCCCTGAGTCAACAGCCCTTTCTCCTGCATCCAAATTCCCTCCCAGAGCTTGTACTTCTCACCCCTTCCCACACCCAAATCCCTCATTCCCACCCCACATCTCACTCACTAGGTTGAGACAAGTATAAGGGCTGGGTATAGCAAGTGATGGAGAGGAGGGGAACAGAGCGGATGAGGCCTCACAGAAAGGAGATGGGGGGGATCTTGGGTCATGAATTGGTGGGTCCCTCTCTCTTCCCTGCCCCCCCCCCCTTTTTTTTGCTTGACAAACCTAGGGGTTACTTGAAATTTTGAAAAGCTGAAAAGGGTTCCTCAGCCAAATAAAATTGGGAAACACTGCCTTATGACATACTTTGTATAAGATTTATTGCAGTTTATAACAGTGGTGACTGTATTAGTGAAACCAGCTATCTTCCTTTTTATACAACATAATAAGAACAAGCTAAGGTTAGGCATAGCAGGAAGCCAGCCAGCTTATTGACACATTAAAATAAAGTATCCATTTGTCCAGCCTCAGTGTGCAAGTACACTACTAAATAGAACTTTGTCAGCATGGTTGGTGATATTATTCACCATTGTGGATAAATATGAACAGGAGAGTGGATTTTATTTCATGATATATTCTGGTGCACCACAATGCATGCAACAACTGTTAGTTTGAAACTGGAGAACTGAGTTTTTGGTATCCTATTTTCAACAAGCTCACATTTTACTACCCCCTGTCTTAATGGATAAATGGAGTTCTATACAGGTGCATCTCTCCTTAAAACACTTACATGCAGTGCCATTTGTAGGCATATCAATCCCAGGATATTACAGAGACATGGTGGGTGGAGGGGGTAATATCTTTTACTGGACCAATGTGAAAGCTTGTCTGTGTCTCCAACAGAAGTTGGTCCAATAAAAGATATTACCTCATCCATCTTGTCTCTTGAAACCACGTATGGCACTTTGTAAGAGTATGATTTTCCTGTGGTATTTAGAGTAAAATTTCTCCTCATATCCCACTGCTGTGCATGCTATAGTACGTTAACTCTAGCCTTTGGTAGTTTGTGCAAGAGATGGTGTATGTAAATATCAACTGTTAAGTTGCTGATCAGCAGGCTTGACAAACTGCAGCGAAATCTGCTCGCCTGCACTGTGCATGCGCCAGAACCGCATTGCGCATGCGTGTGCCGCTGGTGAATGGGGCGACCAGCTGAAAGCTACTCACCACGGGCAAGTAGATTCACTGATTTGTCGAGTCCTGCCAATCAGTATTTGCCTTGTTTTCTCTAGTGACTTCCTTCATTATGGAGGTGACAGGAAATTTTTTCAACAAACTGCGTGCTATTGCTGTCACTTTGGAGAAAGAGGCTGAAAAGCTTGAACAAGCATTAAATAGAGAAGATACAGGTAAGTGTGTAAGAGGCTGCGCCTTAAATCTGGTATTTCAGTGAATGTTGTTAGTTTTGTGCTCTCAGCAAGAAAAACATAGTGCAAGAGTGGTAAAAGTATTTCTATCCTGCTCTTTTATGAGACAGTGCAGCTTCTGTCTTATGATGTCATCTGGATATTTGGATTAAGATGGAATGTTGAATGCTGATATCTGTCATCTTTGAAATTCAACTGCCTTGTCCAAAACTTTATTTTTTTCATCTTGCAGCTTTTTCTTTTTTGAGATGTTGTGGGTTAAATCCTGAATTGTATGTTCCTAGAATGGCTTTTTTTAACATTTGATATTAAAAGACCAGGTATGGAAAATGGCAATTTTTAAAAAAAATAATAGTGACACGGTATTTACCTACACATGAAACATGTGCTCAAACTTACTCTGTTAACTTTATTCTCACATACTTAAGCTGTGGGCTGGGGCCCGTGTGGTGAGACTCTCCCTTCACATAAAAAAATCTGCCCTGCGAGTGGCAGAAGCTGTGTCAATGGTAGAAACTCTTTCACTGACATAGTACTGTGCATACTTGAACTTATGCCACTGTAACTTAGGTCACTCAGGGTGGAATGTTCACACTCCAAGCGACATAAGTTTTGCCAACACAAGTGGTAGTGTATACTAGGGATGTCAACGTGTAGTCGACTATACAATTAACTGTTAAGCCTAGGCTTATCAGTTATTCTTTACTGGCTCCTGCTGTCCCCTTTCCCCCCACCCTGCTGCCTCTAATACAATAGTCCCCATATGCACTGTGTATGGCTGGAATATGTCACAGTGTCCTTCAAACTCATTTATGTGCTGGTCCAGAATGGTGAATGACACATGCATCTTTTGGAACACTGGCCTATTCAGGGAGCTGTAAGTAGGGACTTTCTTCCTGGACCAGAAGATAACTGTGAGGAAAGTTGAAATGCCCTCTGTGATCTTGGGAGAACCTGCCTATCTTTTAATGCTGTGGCTCATGAAGCCATACACTGGGAGCTTTGACAAGAGTGGCTCAACAGGCTGAGCAGGTGCAGAATGACTGTAGTGTGTGCTTTTGGCTGTTTAAAAGACCACTGGTAATGTTTGTATGGGAAACTGACCCTGGACAGAAATCAAATCTCTATGCTTATTGCCATGTGCTGTACGTTCCATAATATTTGTGAAAGGTTGGGTGAAAGCTTCACTTAGGGCTGGACTGCTGAAGCTGAGCACCTGGAGGCCAAGTTTGAACAGCCTGAAAACAAGGCTATTAGAGGAACAAAATACAGGACTACGTAGCACTTCAAAGACTAACAAGATGGTTTATTGGATGATGAGCTTTCGTGGGCCAGACCCACTTCCTCAGATCAAATAGTGGAAGAAAATAGTCACAAGAAAGCTTCACTTAGGGCTGGACTGCTGAAGCTGAGCACCTGGAGGCCAAGTTTGAACAGCCTGAAAACAAGGCTATTAGAGGAACAAAATACAGGACTACGTAGCACTTCAAAGACTAACAAGATGGTTTATTGGATGATGAGCTTTCGTGGGCCAGACCCACTTCCTCAGATCAAATAGTGGAAGAAAATAGTCACAATTTGGTATATATGGTTGTGACTATTTTCTTCCACTATTTGATCTGAGGAAGTGGGTCTGGCCCACAAAAGCTCATCATCTAATAAACCATCTTGTT